GGGTGGTTGGGTTCACACCTGTCAGCCCCCCTTTAGTGCTCTCTGACCAAGGGCACTCTTCCACTGGGAGTAACGATGAGTTGGATGAGTAATGGGGTACAAAACTCACTGTAACCATTTATTTAGAATCGGAATCAAATTATTTTCTAGGCAGCTCCTTTTGGGTGCCTAAATGAACATCGTCTGTGTTCAGCTGCTAGGATTTATACTTCAGAGTAAAGAGGAAACAGGCACTTGGGCATGCTCTAGAGCTACAGTGTTCTTGCTTTTAGGCCTATTTGGCTGCTGGATCACTGCAGCCACTGAAAAATACCTGGTGCCCTGTGCAGAAGACAGTTATTTGAAGCTACCTGCCCTGTTTATCAGTCAAAGTGCTATTGGTGTGTTGGGTTTGGTTTTTTTTTTTAAAGTAGGCAGAGTTCATCTTTCCTCCACTAGAAGAGGAGGCATCAAAGTATTCTGCCTTTTTCTTTTTTTCTTCACTCTCCTCTTCCCAATAACTAAGGGTGGAACAGGATTAAAAAAGAGCTATTGTTCGGACCTGATCAAAAGCAGAAGAGACATGTCTCTCTTCAAAGGGAGCCTGCCCAGAGTCTCTGCTTTGGACTGAGTGAAAACTCTCAGGAACGCATGTAACACTCTCCCCTCCGCAGAGACCAGGCCCCCATTGCTGCGCGTTGGCTCAGCTACCCCACGCCTCACCCTAAACGCCCCCGCTGAAGTCAGCGTGCCAACATCACCTCCGAGCTCCCAGTGCTAAAAGGAAGGACAACCTCCAGCTGCAGCTAGCAGAGGGGGCGTCTCTCCTTTTTAATGGGAGCAAGTGGCTAGCTGAGGCAGTGCCTGTCCTGCAACCTCAGCCTTCAGCCTGGAAAGACAAAGAAACCGACCACATGGCAGGGAATGAATTTCTCTAAGTGCAAGTAGGCGATGTTCGTGGCAGCGATTACAGGTTGGGAAGAGAAACATGCTCTCTTGCAACAAGAACCTTCACACATCCTTCATGTCAGTGACACTCTCTTTTATGACTGCAAGGCTATCTGCTCAGTCGCCACCATTAACAGCATGCAAGATCTCCAGAACGCATCTTTCAGCCTGGAGAAGAGCACAGATTTTTTTAATATTGGCTTACAAGTAACAATAAAGTAATGTATTTCTGGCTATGTAGATAGTGACGTGGCTAAAACAAACTCCTTGGTTTCCAGCAGCTGTTAACAATACCTGTAGGGAGCTGTTCCCAAGGCAGTTATCTCTGGCACTGGCAGCAGTAGGATGTAAACAGCATGTATCAAGTTAATGGAAAACACTGAGAGCCAAATCTGAAAGGAGCCGTGTTTAGCTGGGCCTCTCTCGCAGGGATTACGCTCTCACGTGTAGCGGCAGCGGCTTTCGGAGGGCAGGTCTTCCTGGGCGCGGACAGCCGGGGCCCTGCTGCAGCCGCAGGGCCCCGCTGATGGATGTGGGGCCGGGGACAGCGAGCCCAGCCGAGGGTGTGCAATTCCAGCTGTGGTATACCAGCTCAGGGTCAACGCCGAGCTAACGCACCGCACGCCTCCGGCTGGCTCGGGGCTGGCTAGGCCGGAGCCAACGTGTGGCTGTCTGCATCTGTCCACGCAGACGTACCCTAAGATCAGAAAGATAGCAGTGGGTTATTTTGAATGACATAGTCCAGACTTGTACACTGTGGGAGGTGTGATGGGAACTCTTTCTGCCTTTCTTGATAATTTAATAAGCTGTTGTAATGAGGGATGCACTGAGCCCCTCATTTGTATGCCGTTCCCACATGAGATGTGAATATTAAATTCCTCTAAGTATGAATCAGCACCTCTTACTCCCACAGCTCTTTCCCCTATCTCTCCATCTCCACCAGCTCCACAGCTCCAGATCCCCTCGTGGTCCCCTGGTCTCCCCCACTTTGCTGCCACCTCCACAACTGCCCAGGAGTGGGGAGACATGTCCCTGCTAACAAGCAGAAGCAGCAACCACTTGGCAGGACAAAGCTGGAGAGAAGGTCTCAGTTCTTTCTTGCAAACTGACTGCAACCTGGCCGGCCCCGTGGCCTGTTCGCGTTTGGGAAAGCTGCACAATGTGGGAAATGAAACCTACAAGGCATCGCTGTCTCTGACAGCTGGTAGTTTAAATAATGAATTGGTAATTATAAACCCTTTTGAAATAAAAATGAAGTTTAAAGAAACATAAACTTTTGAGACACACCTTGTGATGGTGAAGGGCTTTCCCACGTAGATTCCACCAGCAGCCATCACTCAGCACTGGCAGACGGCAGGTGCCTGCCGCTCAGTTCGGGGAGAGACGGACTCGCCAAACAAGAAAAGTCAGGGGCTAAACAAGTTTGCAAATAGCAGCAATTCCAGTCCAAAAATCATTTCCATAGCAGAGGGGAGGAAGTGCTCCCTGAGGACAAGGAGGCTGGCTGGCTTTCGCTTTTTTTTGCTGAATAGATGTTCTTTTGTATGTGGTAAAGAAGGAAAAATAATGGGAGAACGGGCTGAAATGTAAAAATTCAGAACTGCAGTGTAGAAGTCACCACCTGCTCCTGCAAAACAAGCTGTTCTTTATTTCCAAAGTCCTGGGAGCGGTAAACCAGGATTTCTCAATAAAGTGTGCTAAGCTAAAAGGCATGAAGATAGCGACAGATCCAGACTTGTCAGTGCCACGAACATTTGTCTTGGCCACAACGTACAACGTGTACACGAAGTGCTGTGTCTACCATCTAACGCCTTCTATGTTATACCCAAACCTGTGCCCAAAGTCCCGCCTCAGATGTTCAGAAACTGAAGTTAAATTACGTGTCTGAGTATACAAACACACCTGGTACTTGCAACGCCAGGATTTCTCCTATAAAATCCTTCCTTTTGGGACTTTCTCACAGTCACCTACACCCAAACTCCAGTTTGAGATCTCCAGGACCAAAGCCAAGAGTGTAACAAGAAGGAAAAAGGACAAACTGTAACCCAGTAAATGGGAACTTTATTAAACTACCGAGTTACTCCGAAATGTATAAATGTTCCATTAAATACATTCAGTTTTCTTTTACATAGATTTATAGAAACTTATTTACATATTCCAAACACATTTAAATTATCTTTCAAGCTTGCTACCCATAAAATCTTTCGTTGTTTTTTTTTTTAAAAAAGGAAAAAAGTCAGTCATCTGCTCTTGCAGATGTGCATACATACACACAGATACAAATAAGGAGGGAGATACTCTTGTACCTAACCCACAAGGGAGGCAGTATCCAAAAAGCTTACAGGGTTTCAAGCAAAAGTTCGCCCTTGTCGGAAAGCGGGCTATGTAAATCCTCCCTGTGGGACAGACTCTAAGAAGAGGCCCTGTGCAATACTCCGTGGTGTTTGGGTATGACGTCTGCATCAAGATTTGCTGGTACGTGGGAAGAGCTAAAGGCCCCTTGCCAACTTCAAAACACCAAGCTAGCTGTCCCTGATACTAGCCCACGAGAAGTATGCGAGCAATTAAGTGGCTCGTTCTCGTTGCATTACACTCTCCCAGCACGGAGGGATAGAGCAGACAAACAGATCTACCACTAGTAAGTCAATGCCACTTGTCTGAAGAGATTTTCCTTTTATTTTTTATTCTGTTCTTAAAACGAGGCTTCATTCATCACTGAATAAAAAGGCAACTCTTAAACAAGACACTTGGGAGAACAGCGATCGGTTTCCCTACCTACGTACATTTCTCCCGGGAAGATGCACAGCATGCTGAACAAGTTTTCCCTCATTCTCTGTACCTTAGCCTGAAAGGAGTTAAAATTTGTATCTGCAGGAAAAAACAGAGGTGTGTTTTTATTTTGTAAAAAGCTTATCAAATACTAGTTTAACTCATCCTTTAGAGTCTTTAAACATTAAAAACCACATTTGAAACAACCAAAGTAGTCTACAAAAACATTGTCATGCGTAAGCTGTGTTTCATGCTAAATATTCATGTTGACAAGGAGAAGGAGAGGAGGAGGAGAAGGCAGGGAAACTAATGGCTCAATCAGAGCCATTGCAACATTCAAGTAATTTGGCAGTAGATAAACCAGTGGAAACATGGAATGGTAAGAAAGTGCTCGGCACTACATTGCAGCCTTCAAGAGCTGAACTGCAAACAGCCTTGATATGTATCATAAATATATGGCACTTCCGTATGACCAAAATCTGGCAAGTCTACTTGTGACTGAAACAAGTCAGGAGTGGTCATCATCCCAACAGCTACTGCTGGCCACTCCACCAGGCACAGCCTCCAGCCGTGCCACCCGCTGCCACGCCAGCCCTATCTACTTGTGCATGCAAGACAACGCTGCCACATTCTTGGAGAAGCGGCCTCTGCCCCGCAGAAAGCCTTCTCCAGACACACACACCCATTCATAAAACATGCTATAAATTCTTCAGTGAGGTTAGAGACAGCCGCAAACAGCAAATGTCTCGTTTTACTATTTTTTGGCCAGCAGGTCCCAGTCTGTCCATTTGCCAGCAATGGACTTTGCAACAGGCAAAAAGAGTTCCTGAATCCGAGGAACTGAAAGCAACGGAAAGCACAATCGCCTTAAGTTCGTCTTCAGTACTGTTCCACACGATTCACTTTGACATCGAGTAAGGAACCAACCAGCACAAAGGCTTGAGTCTTAGGGATAACTTTACGTACACAAAAACTGGCCTTTATCCACGGTTTCCGTCACAAGGCGTTGCATCTTGTAGTTTAACTTCTTCAAACCTTTTGGCTTTTGGTGACCTTCTGTATCACAAATACGCAAAGCTTTGCTGTTACGTTCGCGTTCCACCACAGTAGCTTCAAATACATTCAAATTCATAAAAAACGATTTAGACCAGAACACAGCAACTTTCCCCTTTCCAACAGCGTGCCGTACTTCAGTGAGCACACCACATTGCCTATTGGCAACGTTAGTTTTAACAAATTTGAGGACACAGACATCCAGTGCTTGAACAAGTGTTCACATTCCGAGATTCAAAACACCCACCCCCTTATTTCAGTAATGGCTTCAGTATTTTACCAATTGTGGTTCGGTTTGCATCTTTCAGTTTAAGAGAGGTCTTTTCCGCTGTTTCCTGCTCCTTTGGCGCAGGGTCTACTTTAGTGCTGACAGCTTCTGCCTGCAGGATGCTTCTTCCAACCACTCTGGCACTACTCGCTCTCTTTAAAGTACTCACGCTGTTCTCCTTTGGACTCGGATCATCAGAGGTGGCTGCTGGCTTCGCTTTTGGCAGCCTCTGGGACACAGACCTTGTGATGGCTGGAGGTTTGGATGAGCTGGATAGATCGACTTTTGCACGCTTTGAAGAAGAAGCCACTGTATTCCTCGCAAAGCTTGGGACAGCGGATGGCGTTTTGGGAACGCTGACTGTGGCAACCTTGGTGTCATCTGTAGGGGTCTGTGGTTTTACACTGGAGCGACACATCTTTGTTTCGTCCGTCTTTGATTTGACATTACTCCTAACAGGTTTAGAGCTCGGCTTCTTGAGAGAGATCCTGTCCCGCTCAAAATGAGCGCTGCTCGAGGTGACAGTGCCCCTTTGCAACCTCGGCTCTTCCACCGACACGCTGTGCCTGTAAGGACTTCTTGGCAGGGTGTCTGTCGTGCCTCGGACGGAGCTGCGCCGAGACAGACGACTTTCCACTGTACCAGTTTCACGAAGCAACGGCTTGGCTTCCGGCTTTTTCACGCTGCTCAGTGCTCTGCTTGACCGAGAAATAGGCACCACTTTCCTCATACTTTCGTTCTCGGAGGCGTTCAAAGTTCTGACAGGTCTGGAAGGAGCTGTGTGGCTGGGGCGAGTGCCACTGGATTTTGAGGAGCTCGGAGATCTATCTTTTAGAGAGTTTCTCTTTGGTCCTGCTGGGTCTTTATTTTTTACGGGCTTTTCTTTAGGAAGGGCGTGCTTGCTACTGGCATCATCCTTATCATTTGCCGAAGCGTGAGGAGACAGATCCTTGGCAGAAGCAGAGTTCAGGTTTGAGAAGAACGTTCTAGCCCTGTATGGAGCATCACTCCCAGAAGAGTGTGCTTTGCCAGAGTCACTTCTTACTTCATTGCCTGCCGACTTAAAATCATTTCCCTCTTCAGAATCCAATGTCAAAGAACAATCAGTTGTTGTATCTGAGACGTAGAACATTGGCCCATCTTCCCTACTTCCCGAAACACTCGTATCCATAGACATGGGGCTGCTGCTGCTGGGCTCTGAAACTTCACTCTTGCAAGCCCTGGCTTTGTGGTCGTGGGGCTCTCTGGAACTCCTGCAAGCCGGAGGCAGGTCATCATCAGCAGTGCTAAGGGAATGAAAGCTTAGATCATCCAGAGTCTCCAAGTCAGCTCCACCAGTATCCTCCAAATATATTAATGGTGTATCCTCTGCAGGCTTTGCTCCTTGAATATCAAACTTATGTAACCCTTTAACAAGCTCACGCTCCTCAATTGCGAGGGCCAGCGCGTTTATATCTGTGGATTCCTCAGAGGACACACTCGAGGCGTGCACGTTGTAGTCGGCGCTTCTCTGTGAGTAATGGGCACCAGGGCCGGTTGAGCTGCTGAAGTGACTGGGCTGAGCTGGAGGCACCTGCAGTAGGCCACTGCTTCTCACTTTGGTTTCAGACTGTTGCTGTAAGTGCAAGGTATTTAAGTTGAGATCTCTCGTGTCTTTGGATTCAGGCCAGGCTACATTTGGTCTTGCTTGTCGGGTGTTTGCACGGGGAAGGCTGTTAAACTTGTTTGGGTCCTCATCTTTTGAGATTTCCAGGAAACTCTGCAATTCCCTGTCTGCAGTAATCCCCAAGGAAAGTCGGGAGCGTCTAGAATTGGGGTTTCTGTATGAAGGGCTTTGAGGTCTCTGCTGCAAGAAGGGAAGAAACTCTTCGAGACCTTTTTTGGCCAACATCTCCACATCATTTTCACTGCTGCTCCGCCCAAAGCTCCCAAGCTCTCCAGCTGCCCAGGATCGACGCTTCTCCTCCAGCTCCTTTCGCCTTTGTAGATTGTGAAGTTCCTGGATCTCTCGTTCCCTATTTTCCTGACAAGGAAAAACAAATACGTGTCTCAGAGGACAGTACCCTACGCATGAGAACAACTCACACGCCTTTAGCTTTTCCTTTATTTCTTCCCATCGAAGGTAATGCCTGCTGCTACCACCCTCCCCCAGCCCCCAATACACACACACACACACAAAATCACCGTGGCAACCAAGTAGTTCCCTGCACAAGATAATGGCAGCGACACATCAGTCTGGTTAGCAAAAGAAGAGAATGCACATGTGCCTGCAGAGAGCAACCTAACCTATCAAACCCATGCAGACATCAACTCCAGACAGAGTTCCTGCTACAAGACGGAGTGCTTCAAGTCCCCACTGAGCCTGAAGTTGGCAGCTCTGTCAAGTGAGTAGACCTCTATCTGATCATAGCCTTCATATTTTAAGACAAACTTGTCTGACAAGCACACAGGCAATGTGTTCCTTCCATCCGCCCTTATCAGAACCGCGATTGTTCCTCGACAAGTGCAGTTTCTATGGGGAGCTACCTACCTTTGACTTGACGGGTACTGATGGGAAATTTTGTGAAAAGCCACTACTTAGTCGCATACGAAAGTAAGTAAAAAAGTTTACGCAATGACTCATTACTTAGACATCAACTGACAGCACTAATCAACGCCTCATTCCAGTTTTGGATCTCGTATTCACTGTTGGCTTCAAAAACTGGCAACTATTGCACAGATGTTGCCCAGGGCAGGCTGGAGACATTGGCAGCTAGGCTGAGGGGTTTTGGTTCAGGAAGCCATAGAAAGAGGCAGTTTGTGTTTGAAAGACACCACAGTCAATTACTGTGAATATCTGTATTTTAACTATCACTGCTAGCTATCACCCTCTATTCTGATCTCGTGAGACCCCACCTGGAGTCCTGTGTCCAGCTCCCGGGCCCTCAACATCAGAAGGATATAGACCGGTTGGAGCGAGTCCAGAGGAGGTCACAAAGATACTCAGAGGGCTGGAGCACCTCTGCTGTGGGGACAGGCTGAGAGAGGTGGGCTTGTTCAGCCTGGAGAAGAGAAGGCTCCGGGGAGATCTTATTGCAGCCTTCCAGTACCTGAAGGGGCTACAAGGAAGCTGGGGGGGACTTTTTACAAGGGCCTGTAGTGACAGGACAAGGGGTAACGGGTTTAAATTGAAAGCGGGGAGGTTTAGAGTAGATATCAGGAGGACGTTCTTCACAGAGAAGGTGATGAGACACTGGAACAGGTTGTCCAGAGAAGCTGTGGATGCCCCATCCCTGGAAGTGTTCAAGGCCAGGCTGGATGAGGCTTTGAGCAACCTGGTCTAGTGGAAGGTGTCCCTGCCCATGGCAGGGGGGTTGGAACTGGATGATCTTTAAGGTCCCTTCCAACCCAAACCAGTCTATGACTACGATTTAACCTAGCTGAACCTTTGGTGGAACTTTCCAGGTTATTTTCTGAAATGTAGCACCTGGTTTTCTAGAGCCAGTACAGCTATAGCAAAAGAACAAAGGGGGAGGCTAGTCTTGACAGAGGATTCAGAGGTTACATAATTTCCCAGTTAAATCTGTTCTGAGCAATGACATGCTGTTTTTAAAAAAAACCCACACACCTCTATTTGTCTGAAGCACTGTCTAGGTTTGATCTTCCCATTGTTGTGACAACAGAAGAGCTGCACAGCTAAATAAAGTCATCTGAAAGCCTTCAGTAAACAAAAGCCAAATGCTAAAGCTCATTTTGACGAATGGGCTAATCTACACCTCTTAAAGTGGATTTGAGACTATGCTGGGCTCTGAAAGACAAGGCGCATTAGAGACCTAAGAAACCTGAACAGCTAAGAAAGGAAAAAGAAAAAAACCTTGCATTTCAGAAAAAATGTCTATGGTAGGGATCTTGCTTTCACAGGTATGGAATTACAGAATGAATTCTTGCCAAATGCTCAAGCTCAACTTTAAATATCCTTTTGTAAAGAGAAATGGTTAAAAATAGCTGTAGATACTACTACCATATTCCATATTGGACCCAGAACATTTTAACCTCATTGAAAACATGCTTCGGGAGATTTTATTCAAATTAAAAATTCATTTTAAGCCAACACAGACACGTTTAAAAACTGCAAAATACCCCACAAAACACACTTGAAATATGTGCACGTGGCCACTGTGGTATGAGCCAGCTTTTCAGACTGCTGGCTGAGCTGTCCATACACCACATCCATTCGTCAGAACTGCAACCTTTATTCTGAATTGTTCTGTTAATTTTGTAGGGACAGCAGTTATCCCCACAAAATACCTAGTAAGCAAATCTCCAAATTTGCAAATAAGAGACCAATTTGTCATTTTTCGAGTGTAACTACTTACTACAGAGAGAAGAAGGAAGATCCCCATTGGACCTCGACATAACAGCTGTCCAACAACCACTTGTAATGTGTGATTATGAATTCAACCCCCAATCCCACCTAACCGACCACGTATGCATGAAGTCACCGCTCACTACAATGTCTGCAGTAGTTACCACCATTTGGTTTTTTATGTTTGTATAACGTTCACACACGTGCATAACTACATGCTACCTTGGGTGGTAAAGGGTAGGTAGACTAATGGTACCACAGGCATGTTAGCTGAACATCCCATCAGCTTGCTATAAATCAAGATCGTGCTCTTTTCTGAACTAAAGCTCTTACACAAAGTGTTGTCAAATGCGGACTGCATACAGCAGAAAAATAAAGAAATGTGTGGATCCATTTAATTCACACAATTTATAAAAGCTTAAAAAATATTTGTAACAATAAGGCAGGCTTTTCTAAAACACCACTGTAAGCAATGCTGATACTGCTCCTTCATCTTAGCATACTTCCTGAATCACCGGGGACCAACTTTGCAAACGAACGGTCACACTGGGGATGACGTATCTTTGCACTGCAGGCCTGTTCCATTTCTGGAGTTTTCACCCACAAGAAGCATTTGAAAGAGCCAAGTAGAAGCCACTGCCCTGACTTTACTTGGCAAAGTGTGCCTAGTCACGTCAAGGAGGGCAATGGAGCACCTGAGCTCGTGCCCATTCAGGCTGGTATGCCCACGTGATGCGGTGCCACACCAAGGACTTTCCAGTGACCTGGCATTACCAGCCCAGGGCTGGAACAGCAAGCACTGGTCAGGAGGTCTGGGCAACCTGTTTCACTGCCCAGCTGAGCAGTCACCACCCTCCTCACCAACAGAGAGCGAAGGAGCCCACGTACAAGCAGGCCGGTGGGCTGCCCTGCCGTACCACCTCAGTGGCTAGTCAGGCTGCAGCAGAAGATGCGGAGCAGCGGGACTGCATGTAGGGCTGGCCAGAATGGCCATTTCCCACCTGGCTGCTGGCAAGGAATGCCACAGGAGGGAAGTCTGCTGTAGCCATTTGAGCAAATATATCAAATAGCACAAAGTATAGAATGACCCTTAAGCAGAAAAACACAACATAATGCATGTGAGCCAGTATGTTTCAAATGGGTGAGAATCCCATTCAGCACTCTTACCTTAACAGCCTTGTTGAATCTTATGCAGAAGTCCCTAAATATCTGGAAACATTCATCCAACTTCATAGTTTCTTTGTCTTCACAGAAGAAGTCAATGAGAGCATTTCCCTCCTTCTGTAATTCTCGTTTCTGGTGTTCAAGCTCCTTTAGATGTCTTATAGCAAACTGTAGCAAGAACATATGTATGGCAAGAACCAGACAGAAAAATTAAAGTCACAACAGGTGATGGATATATTAGAAACTTATGAAATTCATGTTCCAACCTAGGGGCTGTTACAGAGCCCAGAACAATGACAGACTACTTTGGAGCCCTCTGGAAGTTCCACATGCCGTGTTTTCCCCGTTTTTCCTGCCACTTCCAGCTAAGCATAAATTGATTAATTCTTCCTCCCTACTTTTCCCCAAAACCCATGTGGATAAATTCATGGATATACATAACAGAATCAACTCCTTCATAAGTTGACCCTAGACCACAATAAAAAGGTTTTCATGCCAGAATGGTAAGGAACTGCTAGAAATACGTGTATTTTAAGACATTCTGTAGAGCTATACAGACAGGGTTGGAGTAGATTAGTGGATTTCTCAGGGGGAAGAGAGTAAGGCTGCAGTTAGACTTTGGGCAGCAGAACTGCTTAAAACACCTTCAGCAGTTGCCCCTCTGTCTTTCTCCCCAGTCTGCATCACCAGCCACTCACTCCCATCCTTGCACAATCCCAGATCTGAGACCACATGTGGCTCAAAGTAACCTGGGGAGAGAAGTTCATTTTCAGACAAATCTGTTCTCTGACACCGTCATGATCACCTAAACACTTCCAGTACTACAGCAGTGGGGCAGAAATAGGCAGCTGGAGGCACTGGGGGCCATTTAAGCCAATCCTGCTGCCACAAATTATGCTAGTAGGATAGGAACAACTCTTACTTGTTAGTCCTAAAAAAAAAAAAAAGAGCCCAATAAAAAGCTGGATTGAAGGTAAACTGGACAATTGATAAATGCATACATGGAAAATTAGTTCCTCACACATATTTCAGTAATTTATTCATGAGGATGAGATACTGAAGGCTGACTTTTAAATCAGCCTGGTTATCAGCTGTAATTTAGAAACAAAAAACGGAAGTGTTTATGTAAGGTATGCATTTGTAAAATTATTTTTTTCCCAATATTTCTTTTGGAATGTGGCCTAAACAAGATTTAGTGTTACATAAAACCAGCTATTAAATTTAAAAAAAAAATATCCCAAACATGTTAGAACATAACATTAAAGAGTCTGGGTGCAATGGATAGAAGCCAATAATTCAGAGTGAATGAGGACAGGTATTTCAATCTTAACCTGCCCCTTTCTTCATCAACTTCTCATCTCCTGAAAAAATGCAGGGACTATTAACTACATCTGCAAGTTGAAAATCAGGGCGGGTTAAGTTCCAGATCAACACCTGCTTTCTTACTTTTAATAATTATCTACAGTGTGAAACAGAAAAATAATTTAATTGAAGTATAATGCATATTTCTGCAGGCATCACCATGTAACTCAGAAAATACCAAGAACTCTGCTTCAAAGTTAAGCACTAAGCACATTCATGCCTATAAAGTCACTGCAGGACTAAAAAAGGGGAACGCAGCCAGAAGTAAATGGTATGGCTCAGAATAATACACTCTCTGCTAAGGCTAAACGAGTAGAGAAAACAGTCCTTTAACCTTCCAGCCTCCAACAATCTCTCTTCAGTCACCCAGCAATCAGGGTTTGTATGCATAGTACAGCCTCAGCTAAAACTGACATGCTCCAGTATGACATAACAGGCAGATGTCTTATTTTGGGCAACTGTGGAGTACAAAACCAGAGACCAGTCCAAATTGTCTTATATTTTAACTACTGATCTTCATCAGTCATTTCACAGGCATTAAGTACGCTTGCCTAACAAGCCTCAGGCAACGTAGACTCAATATCCCTCCCTGTAAAAACAGAGTCCTTCCAACACTCTTGCTTGACAAAAAGCATGTAGTTGGAACACCTTTGTACAACTGATAGGGTAGACACACTAAAACAACGCTTCTGTTTATGAACACGTCCACATAAATTACACAGAGCCAAGGAATGCTCCTGTATTCAGGCGACAGTAACACATCAACACGGATATCCTACAAACCTGGAGAAAGCTTTCCATCTGGTGAAAGAGTTTTGGGTCTCGACGAATGCTGTCTTTAACGGATCTTGCCTTGAAAGACAGCGAGTGGAGCTCTGCTTCTACATTATCAATGGATAACCTAAAAATAACATATACAAAAAATATTTATCGGAGGGAAGGAGCTGCTCGCAGTTTAACCACAACATGCTTCAAAAATAGATGTTTAACATGAGGTGCAACCTGGCTATCAAACAAGACCTGCCTGTTCAGGAATCCTTCCAGAGCAGACACTGGAAGTTAGGAGAGGGATAAGCACACTTCTTGTCTGCAACCTGAAAAGATTCCCATGGGTGTGTGGTTTCAAAATTAACTCTGGCCAGTCCTACCCAGCCTTACCACGAGAAAGGGTAATGGTGCTCTGCCTCTGACCAGGTGTTCCTTCCCTCTCCCTGGTGCCTGTGCTAGCACTCATTTGCTCCATGGCCAGCCATATCTGCTTACTGAAAACTAACCCAGGAAAAGGAGAAAGCCAGTTTGCTTCCAGACAGGTCAATTTGCTTGGTACAGCTGGTGACACACGTGTTTGAATGCAGTAGCTGGCACAAAAAAGGGGTCACAAGGGATTGTCAGCCAGGCCTACCCATTTTGGCAGCAGCATTTGGCATCATGAAATCGCATGTTACATTCTTCTAAGCAGTCACAGCAATGCAGCCTACTCAGTCTCAAGCCAGCAGTTACAGTATTTCATCCTTCTACCACATACCAGCAGCAGAGCTGCTCCTGCAGAGAGGTAACTCAGAAATTGCAGACCACAGGAAGAGCTCTGATCTGATGTAATTTAAGCTTTATCCTCGGAGACTCATGTTCCATACAATGGGAGTTCCCACACAAATCTAACATTTTGAAGGTAAATGCTTCTAAATCTAAGGAATTCCCTTCACGAGAGAACTGAGATTTGCCTAGGAATTGAAGCAGTAGAGTTTCAAAAATGATAAAACTTAACAACTGTACACACGCTGCTAAGGTCATTTCACCAAGAGCACGACTTTGAAAGAGCAAAGCTGAAGAATGTGTGGCAGACTGATTCAAGCACTTGCGGCAGCATGCCCAAGTTCATCAGTGCACACAAAAATGAGTATCGTGCTGCTTCTATAGTCTGCCTGACTTCATCTGCAAAGGTTAGTTCCCTGTTCTGGGCAGATAATGGGAGGTTTTGTAAATAAGCAAAGCAGTAGAAGAGAGAGGCTATATTTTTCTGCCCGTGAGGGAGGAAGAGGATGGCCTACAAGGCAGCAAGACAATAAAAAATAAAGAACATGATGGTAGTTGTTTTAACACGCTTTACTTGGGAGGATTTATGAGCGACTTGTACATGACACTTGTCTCCAATAAAGACCTTCCTCATGCCCATTGGTGAGACACGTATTTCGGTTTGTTTCATTTTCCTGTACAGAGTGCATCCCCTGAACAGATTTCAGGATGAGTTACAACAGAAGGCTTTCAGCGTTAACAAACGCGATCAAAGAACAAAGCGGTTAGAAAAACTATTGCCCGATTTGGGATTCTGCCTGCTCCCCTGCTGTTTGCCAGGGGGCTTGGATGCCGCGGGAAGCTCCATTCCCCAGCAGGCCACATGGCAGACTGCCAGAAAGATGTGTGGGTTAGGTGGCAGCGAGCCATACAGGTGGTCCCTCAAACATTTTCTGATTAACTCCGTGGCCACTCCTTTCCTCAGAACATTTCATAGTCCTCTGCAGACGTTACTTAACCCTGCACCAGATCTAAGAGATTGGATCCATTTTACAGCTGGAATAAGAATGTAAATAGCTTGCCCAGAGCTCAAGAGTAAGGAAGTAGCAAATCGGGAAGAGAACAATGACATTGCTAGCTTCCAGTTTGGGGGTATAGAACACATGGTCTCACCAAAGCAAGCAGAGTTACAGAATCAGGTGTGAATCAGGTTCAGTTTGAAATTATGAAGCTAGAAACTTTAAGATTAAAACAAGACAGAGCCCCAAACCTTTCAGATTTTCCATCCAAGACAGAAACGGAGAAGCAAACGAAACATCAAAAAGCATCTAACAGAAGCCAGGGCCAGTAACTGTACCTGGTACCAGATTTGGATAAGTATTGTAGCCTGCTCAGAGACAGATGAAAATTGGTTTAAGGAGAAAGAGTAACACGTTTCTAGTTTAATCCCTTAAAGGTAACATACATGTGCATGTATTTGACAGAGAGAAAACTACCAAAACCTGTGGAGATCATGTCATACAAAGCCTCACACCTGAAGGCACATTGCAGGCATACTTTTGCTCGTAAAGGGGAATGAAGCCCTCAGAGCTATAGTAAACATTTGTAAAGATCTCAGGTTTTGTGCCAAGACTTCTCTGAATAAGCCTCAATGCTGCACAAATACAAATCCAAGTCGCAGTCTAACTGCAAGTTCTCGCTTTTCATTTGACTTACCTGGCGGCATCATGAACATCCCTAATTTTTTCTGAGAAGTTGAGAAGAGCAGCATCTTTCTTTTGAGCTTCCTGAAACAAACAGAACAAAACCAAAACACACACAATCCATTAACATTCCACCACCATGCCCAAGTCCCTAAGTCCAGCAGTTCTAAATCCTCTGGGAGGGCACTTAAAAGGTTCTCTCCCACACTGTTTTTCTTCCCATTCGATCCTAACAAAACTGAGCAGAGGACACCCCTTAAGGAAAGGCAGGGATCAGAACTGGAAACTTAAAACAACAGCTTCCATTTTGCAGTGTACTTCTGCCAGTGAACAGAAGCCACACATTAACAGGGAATGTCAGGGAAAGAACAAGTCTCTAATGCCCATTGTTCGAGCAGATAGGATGTTTCCTGCACAAACACCAATTAATACCATACTGTTAGCTGACTGGGAATCTGTTAAGCCAGTTTGTACAAAGATAACCAAAGCCATATATAGAAGCATTTAAATTTTCTTCCTTCTAAAATCAAAAGGTTTGAAAAGGAAAAAAAAATCACTTGAAAAAATCTGCAGCTTTAAAAATACATTAGTGTCAGTGACTGAAGGAGGAAACACACCTCTTCCAAAACTGCTGTTCAAAAGATTCAACAGAAAGATTAAAAGAATATTTATCAAAATAAGCTACTTCCACAGTGTAAGAATTCAGGACAATAAGAGAAAAGCTACATGTGGAAGTTAGATGAAGGCAAGCTTTTACATGATATAAAATGCATTTTCCATGGGTTTCTGGATTGGATGACCAAACATAGGCAAATTGGTGAATTTTGTGTCAGGAGAAGAAAGGTGAATATTAGAATCAAAGTTGTAAAAAAGCTGCTTTTTCTGAGGCACATGGTCCCTTCTATTGTCTGTCATCTACAGCTCTACGTCTGTGCCAGTAAAACAGTTTTTCCATACCAGAGCAACAAAGTGCAGTAGACTCATCCCAGGTTTGTTTGCTTTTGTGTCGGCCAGCTTGAGTAGTGATGACAGTTTAAATCCAACAGCATTGCCAGCATAACCTCCCTAAAAAGAAACGAGCAAACAGCTGAAGCACAACATCAATGGACTGCAATACTAATAAGGAAGTTTGGCCAATCAGCCGTCTCCGTTTTGGATGTCACTTACCGCATTCATAATATTCCCAGCCTGAAGGACCAAGTGCAATATGGAATGCAGTTCCTCACAAGTCATTAGCTCTGTAAGGAACAAGAAAACTGCTGTCTAACAATTGTTAGTTTAGAAATACACATAGTCGGTTACCAAACTCTTCTTCCTCTCAAGCTTCTAAAGGTGAAAATTGTAACAGAAAACTACAACAAACTGAAAAGGTGGTGAGGAAAAAATGGTACTATACAATTCAAATTCACAGGTACAGTTGACAAATCTCAAGCAATGCTCAGACTTTAGCTTAGCAAGTGTAGTATTTCCAAGGCAACCCCCAGCAGCTAACAAAATATTTGGGGCCTAATCCTGCAGTGTGCGAAGTGTCTCACGCAAGTGGTTAAGTATCCTCACCACTTACTAATTCCAGCGTGACGCAAGTGTTCTGCACCCTATAGGATCCGTTTGCCATCTGCTGGGATTGGGCTTTTGAACAATTACTCCTTTTTTTGGGAGACTTAGCCATCAGGGCTGAAAAGGTTCCTTGCTTATTCCACTCCCACTATCAATCATCATTTTTGTATGATCACCAACTCAGAGCAGCATTTATTTTACTTCAGTCACACCAAAGGTGATTTAGCGCCAAGTTATGTTCAGCGTGATGCAAAGAAACAAATGGACTAAAGCTGCCTTTTAAAGCTTTTCCATCACAAAAGCCTGTTTTGTACATACTTCACATTTTTTGAAAAATGCACAGTTGTGCTCTATTCATACACCCTTTCACCCAGCCACATAGGAAGACCAAAAAAAAAAAAAAGCCTTGGAAATAAAATACAGAAATGCAGTGTAAATACTTTTTTAAACTATTTTGCATCCAAGTTGACATTCTGTAATTTACCCTGCATTTAACTGCTCAACACAACACAGTAATCTATCATTTTGGAAGGAGCCAGCCCTTGTACCTTTGGATTTCAGTATTAGCAGCCCAGAAAAACAGAACTAATTAAATAACCTTTGATTTAACAAGCTATAGGTGTGGAAGCAAGCAGGAACAAAGAGGAGAGGATACAAAAGAGAATATCAGATTTTGTAAGTCCGAGAGGAGAAGGCAACTTCTAAAGATTTTGCATAGTAAGAGCCTGCTCAGCGGCACTGAGATACATCCACTGGCAGGCTAGATGAGAATCCATCAGGCTATTTAGACCATCCGAACTACCCTTAGTGATTATCTGCACTAGAATTTAAGTAAATATGCTCTCAGCTTAATTACAAGGAAAGAAACACAGGAGATAGGAGTACAAAAGTAGACATAATTCCTAAACAACTTCAGGCTATCAACAAACCCTGAAGTGAAAAGACCAAATGGAGAAGAGCACATGACACAAGTGGACTGAGCACAGGGAAGCTCAGTCAGTAGGATTTGCATGACTGGCCTGATGCAGGAGCTGGAGACCAAAGCGTCTCCTGTGGAGGGAGTGAATCCATCAGTTCACAGATGTCCCGGCTGCAGGACATGAAGGACAACAGGGCGCGGCTGCTTTTATACATAACATATTCCCTCACGTATGTCTGTTGCTCAAAACACAAAGAACAATGGTTTGAAAGAGATCCCAATAAAATGCCAAACTCCAACCTCAGCCTAAGCTAAGGAACGTTTTTCTGAGTCAAGAAGGACTAGTTCAATCCCCACTGGTGGGAAAACCACACCAGGCTTTTGTGCCTTTCCTTTCACTAAAACTGACTATCCTAAGCACTGGTGGATCATAGTTGATTGAATATTTTTATTACTGTGCCTTTTTATGACACCAGAAGCAGTCTAAACAGTGCTCCAGTAGCTTGTCAAAAAACCTGCCAGCATGAAATAGGAATTCCATGTTGAGGAACAGGACATATAGGCACTCAAGTCATTTGAAAAGGCCAGCATTAATGCTTAACTGAAACCAGGATTTTCCTGCAGAGTAGAAGACATCAGATTACCTTACGAATAACATGCTGCAGCATTTCAGAACTTGTGCAACATAGAGAAGTAGGGAGAGCAAAAACAGAAACTGAAGAAACTAAGAAATTGTATTAAGTTTCTACAATAAAGATTTTAGCCCATCAACACTGCCACCTCAAAAGGCGACAGCATATAAAAAATTTGGAAACTATCCAGTGATTTTCTTTATGGATCTCTGAAAAAGTGAGCAGGAGAGCTGTAACGAACACCTTCAGAGACACAGTAATGCATGAATGAGCAAACTGTACTCAAAAGATGATTTATCCTAATCTGACCATGGACGCCTTTGCTTCTGGCAGTTTTGGATACACTGCTTGTAGGTTTTGGTCACAAACTCATGGCTAGTGTATCCAAAGTCTCCAGATTTTTGATTTTGGAAGCAAAGATTCACCAGGCACACCCTGATGGCATTTGTCAGAGGGGAGTTAGCTTCCTTTTAATAGCTATGGTACCTGAAATTCAAGCTCTGGCCTTCATAATGTAGACTAATTAACACTCTAACAAAAACAAGAATATTATGCATGTCCCAACATGCTTAATTACCTTTTGTTGCCCGTCTTATAATTTTCATGTCATCCTGTAGAGAAGCACAGGAGGGTGAGAACTCCCTCTCTAGCACCATGGCTTCAATCCTAAGAGCATAGCTGGAGTACACAAACAGGTTTAGAACCAACAGTCAGAACAGAACATTTATCATGAACAGAATAAACCTACTATCTCCTTACTTTGGCACCTGGATCAGTAAATACATGAAGGAATCGGCTTGAGACAGTTTTGACACATCTCCATCAAAGGCTTTTAATTTCTTTACCTAGAAAAGAGAAAGAAACACTAGCAAAGAATTTTATCAAAGATCAACTTGGCTTTGGAAGGAAACACCTTGAAAAGCAGTAAATTTAACAGGAGGCATGAGAGTCCACTCAATGACTGACTGAGCAGCTTCACTGGCCAAGTTCCTGTAATTTGCACACAGCCCAACCACAAAAAAATAAAACCAATAACATCACTCTTCTCCCAGAAACCTAGCTACAGAGTCCAGCGGAAAAAATACACCACCATCGTTCTGACTGGTGACTCTGATTTCTGACCAATGATTTCTGATTTCCAATTCACCGATCTGATTTCTGATCAATGCCTGCTCTCATCACTATGCTTAGGACACTGCTGTTCCAGTTTCCCCAGGAGAACTGGCTCTTTACTTTCTGACTGGTCCATCTGCTGTCCTCTAGCTGACTGCCCAGAAAACTGAAAAATGACCCTCAAGTCTTCCAACAACTGTGATACACACTTAGGCAGAGCTTAAAGTAACCGTGTTCAGCATTTCCAGCATAGGACTGCCTAGATCTCTTTGGCACAATGCAGCTGAGGTTTAAGTTATGGGTTTTTTTAACCAATATTTGCTTTCACCATTTCCTCTAAAGCTCTCTTAAGGGGTAAACTTCATGCTCTTGAGTTTGGGGTTTTTTTCGTTCATATGAAATATTTTAAAGATAAATGCAATCTCACATTTTAAGTTACTTGTCAGAACTTTGAGAACACCATTTACATGCAAAGGAAATATCACTGCATCAATTTCGACAATCTTCCTTCCCAGCTCCACCAAAATCCATATATTTGCATGATCTGGAAGGCACTGATCTGCCCACATACTTACTATTTGTTTATATAGAAGAACTGGGAAATACATGCACATATGTTTAAGTGTAACTGGCATTTCTTCCACACTTCCAACACAGCAACTGTGTCCAAAAGCAGAGCTCAGTCTCAATCACAGTTTCTTCATTCAAGCAACAAGTTCACACCCAGTACCAATTGCATGTTTCCAACTATATACACACCAGGCCATCATCATCCATCCTTTCCATAACATTACACTTAAAGCCCAGTCACAACCACATTTACACAGATGGGCTTCAGTATCAGAAAGTATACTAAGCTATCCTGGAGAGAGGCACACTACATGAGGGCTTTGACACTTACCAGGTTGCCATGATTTATCTAAAAATCCACTCTTTTTTTTAAAGCATCAGGCTCCAGATGAATCACTTAAGTTATATTTCTGCTTTCACAGTATAAAAGTAACTGATTTGTAGTGGAAGACAACATACACTATGCTAAATCAGGGATTTAAAATAAAGTCTAGACTAGCAGAAGCGAAGGATTATTTTAACAGCTTTGTTCTGCTTTATTCCCGTTCTTTTTCCACATAAAAAAATAGAAATGTTGAGAGCATATTAAGGAAGGGAAACAAAAAAATCACAAATTAAACCCAGAATAGAAAAAACTTCATTTTCAAATTCAAAGAAAACCAACAAACAAAAAGCCAACAAAAACTTAGGACTGAGAAAGAGAATTCTAATCAAAGAGCAATTTCTATTCACACTATCTAACCTAATTTCCTAACATATCCCCCTCTTAAAATCAGACACTCAGACAAAAGATCCTTCTAAAGATAAACAGCATAGCCATTTTTTGAGGTCTGAGAAAACTCCCGATTTAGAGTCATTCAAGAAGTCTGACAACAAAAAAACAGGAAAGACCAGACTTGACATTCCTACATTCCTGATATTTCTCAGGTGTTAAATGAGTGAGAAACAAAACCAAAATAAACACTTTTTCCTACACCATGGAGTGGGAGACATCTACCATCTCAGGTAGTCTTTGCCCGTGTTCTTTAATCTAGCTTCCAAAAAATAGCAGTCTGCAACCTAAACAACAAAACTTACAAGTTCTCCAACCTTCTTGCAGTATGCTGTAAATACCAAAGTTTGCCTGAAAAGGATTACATGCATTCAGTTTCGGGGG